GCCTCCCAAGTCACTGAGATCACAGATAAGTACCACTGTGCCTGGCTTCACCGTTAGCTACTTTAAGATCATGGATAGCTAAATAAATCCAGCAAGGAGATTAAGTTACTCTATTACAGACTGAGTATTTTAAAAGTAGTATCACTTCTACAGTGCTGATGAATGCTTAAATATATGAGGAGTATTGTGCACAATGTGAAGTATAAACAGACCACAAAGGGCATTTTGGAGCTAACTTGGGAATACAGTAGAACCTTAGAGCACTTAGGGGAACTGTGTACCAGGGAGGACTTTTTACTGTTTGGGGTTTCTGGATCCCATGAAAGACTTGAAAGCCTTGGGTGCTCTTTCCCCTAAAAAAGTATCCACAGAAAAATTCGTTCAAAATTTATGGTAGTTCATGGACCCCCCTCTTCATTTATAAATGATCCTTCCTTAAGGACCTCTAAATCAACCATGTCTGGATTAATGAGTTGAAAATTCAAGCCAGGGAAACAAAATGGAAGTGTATGTATAGTATTATTCCAAGAAGAAAAATAGAGGGGGAAGATTAAATTAGAAATTTCTATGCTTTTTATGAAAATTTCAGTGATTGTATCCTCTAAATTTTAAATGAACCGTGGAAGTCAGGTTTTACGTATAATTTGGTCTTCATATCAACACCTAATCTGTGTGTGTGTGTGTGTGTGTGTGTGTGTGTACACCACTGCACTATGAAGTGAGACAAAGGTTGTCTTAATATAGGCCAAAAGGACGGATGAACCTACAGATATATGTGTTCTGTATTTCTCATGTACCTACTGATAGTTCTGTTTACAGCCAGTATTGTAGTTTATACCATTGATCAAGAAGGATGTTAGGTACAAAAGGAAAATTATTTACTTTTTCTTTTCTGATGGCATTGAAAATGCCACTAAACAATATAGACTTGTGTGATTCTGCAATCTGTACAATTAGAAAAATGAGAAATTATATCCAAATGATACAGATGTATCAATTGCCAAGGTCATTGTAATGTCATGTGTAGATAATAATGAAAAAAAATTACAGACTTAAGTTGTAGTAGAAACAGAAAGCTTAAGTGAAAAGAAAAGAGTGTCTTAACAGATACAGATTAACTTTTTTATAGAAATAGAATGAGCAAATTAAAGAAAAATAACTCTACAGGGTTTTTTTTTTCTTCTTTTGTCTTTTTTAAGTAGGTAGGAAGTCTCTTTTTAGATGATCTATTAAAACCTTTGCAATTTTGCCAAAGGTCCACGTCCTAGAATAGATAGGACCGATTGGGATTGAATGTTCATTCGGAAACATCTGAATCACTGAAGGTGATATGAACTGGATATCAGGATGACAGGTCAACACTAGGACCATCATATTGACAATAACAGTGGCTTCTGGATATATTGAATTTGAATGACATATACTTCCTTCGTTATTTTTCTTATTT